TTCAAGCGGCCAACATAGGCTAGTCCTTCTGCTGTATTGTCAAAGATAGAAGCAAAATTTATTCAAATGGGTCAAGTCTTGAAAACTAAGCTGTCACGCAGCTCCAGCTTGATACCCAATAAAAAAAAAAAAAAATAAAAAAAATAAAAAAAAAAAAAAAAAATAAAAAAAAAAAAAAAAAAAAAGATATTACACAATTAGAAAAAATCAGGTAAATTTAGGTGCTCTGAGAGTGACATATACGAGCGTCAATTTTGACATAAATTTGAGTCATAACAGACGCACAATATAACTTAATCAAACGTAATTTTCGTCGAGCAACGAACTTTACAGTCTCGGAGCACTTAATATTACATGACATGTTTGTTTACGTCTCATATTTTATATATAGGAAAGTTTGAACATACTGAGAGGTAAGCACATATCGTCGGTAAGAGACATGTGTGTGAGAAAATTTGCGAAAAAATCTAAGGGCACCGGTGGGATTCGAACCCACAATTCCCATTCAGTACACGGGTGCATTGCCAATTATACAACGGTGGACCTATGGTCTACGGATGTATTTGGCTAATGACATTTGAGTTTCGAATCCGTTCCCCACCCTAGCCTTTTTGCGCAAGCGTTCTCTGATACACAACAATCGTCTATTATCGACGATATGTGCTTGTACCGCAACCACTCAGTATCAGTCGATGTGAACAAACACAGCTCATTTTTGTTATTCATCTTACATGCTGAAATATGTCCAGTACAGTATGACTCTAACATTTTGAGCTGCCGGCCTCACCTCCGACCACCGGGCCGTAGTTGATGAATATCAATTACTTTTTACTTTTTGATTTTACGGTTTAGCGACTTTGCAGTCAATTTAATTGTTTATAGGAAAGTTTGAACATACTGAGAGGTAAGCACATATCGTCGGTAAGAGACATGTGTGTGAGAAAATTTGCGAAAAAATCTAAGGGCACCGGTGGGATTCGAACCCACAATTCCCATTCAGTACACGGGTGCATTGCCAATTATACAACGGTGGACCTATGGTCTACGGATGTATTTGGCTAATGACATTTGAGTTTCGAATCCGTTCCCCACCCTAGCCTTTTTGCGCAAGCGTTCTCTGATACACAACAATCGTCTATTATCGACGATATGTGCTTGTACCGCAACCACTCAGTATCAGTCGATGTGAACAAACACAGCTCATTTTTGTTATTCATCTTACATGCTGAAATATGTCCAGTACAGTATGACTCTAACATTTTGAGCTGCCGGCCTCACCTCCGACCACCGGGCCGTAGTTGATGAATATCAATTACTTTTTACTTTTTGATTTTACGGTTTAGCGACTTTGCAGTCAATTTAATTGTTTATAGGAAAGTTTGAACATACTGAGAGGTAAGCACATATCGTCGGTAAGAGACATGTGTGTGAGAAAATTTGCGAAAAAATCTAAGGGCACCGGTGGGATTCGAACCCACAATTCCCATTCAGTACACGGGTGCATTGCCAATTATACAACGGTGGACCTATGGTCTACGGATGTATTTGGCTAATGACATTTGAGTTTCGAATCCGTTCCCCACCCTAGCCTTTTTGCGCAAGCGTTCTCTGATACACAACAATCGTCTATTATCGACGATATGTGCTTGTACCGCAACCACTCAGTATCAGTCGATGTGAACAAACACAGCTCATTTTTGTTATTCATCTCAACTCAAATGTCATGTTTTGTTATTCATCTCAACTCAAATGTCATTAGCCAAATACATCCGTAGACCATAGGTCCACCGTTGTATAATTGGCAATGCACCCGTGTACTGAATGGGAATTGTGGGTTCGAATCCCACCGGTGCCCTTAGATTTTTTCGCAAATTTTCTCACACACATGTCTCTTACCGACGATATGTGCTTACCTCTCAGTATGTTCAAACTTTCCTATAAACAATTAAATTGACTGCAAAGTCGCTAAACCGTAAACTCATATTTTATGTCAAAGATGGATTCCGTCACATGTAAAACTAGTTATTTCTAAATGTGTATGTTTAGAATCGACAAAAACACGCATGCATCGTATTCTTCTTCTTCCCGAATTTCTGCAATAATTCACCATTTCAGTGTCAACATTTCAAGGGGGCGTAATTGCTTTTGTAAACAATGGCTTTAGCCGTCGATTTCTCGCGAATAAAAGCTCACACATGAAAATTAATGAAACCAACAAGTAGAGAAATGTTTCCTCTACCAGCTAGCATTGTTAATTTGGAGGGGTGAGCTTTAGTTCGCGAGAAATCGACGGTTAAAGCCAATGTATACAAAAGCAATTACGCCCCTTTGAAATGTTGACACTGATTTGGTGAATTATTTTAACTTTTGGTTAAAATTTGACAGATGGAAAGTTATCGATTAACCCTGCTATCCGATCGTGGTTATTTCTGACAGACAATAAGTTAAGTTTTGACAACCGTGGCTGAGTTCTTTTCGAAATCCGGTCGATCGACAGCACAGGGATTTTCGAACATACAGAATAACTTTCGAAATGTCACTTTTAACCACGAGTTAAATTTAACTCGGCAAATGGTTCACAGCCTTAGACTACCCAACAAACAATTGAGAGCTCTTATAAAACACCTGAGTTTATCAAACGTTGAATAATAGCTTCCAGAGTTGAATAAGAATGTAGTTGTATTGCCTTTTTGGTTAGAAGCTTCTAAAGCTGCTTGGAGCACTCTTGAATGATTGTTTACGTTCGACCAACCACCAACCACAATTTTGTTGCTAAAAATAGCACAAGTGATAGGCACGTTTATATGACCATAAGGCAATGATTATTCGACTACAAGAGAACCCAACTAACAATTTTAGCTGCAGACTAGCTTATACAGCTGAAAATTGCCTTATGCAGCTAATTTTTGTCTGTATAAGCTGATCTACAGCTAAAATTGTTTGTTGGGAAGTCACTCAAGATGAGCTTGATATACTTCTTTCATATGATCAAAATATGTATTCAAGAATAGAGCAGATGGAAACAGAAGCGGCTGGCAATCCGGGATCATGAGTTCGAATCTTGCTTCGAGAAACCTTTGGTGGAGTAGAGGTAAATTATATATAGATGTTATTAATAAATGCAAACATTAATTTAAGACATATATCATATAATCAACGATAACATTTCTAGATAAATTCTCTCAATTAATGATTAGAGAGATTAATTGAAAGAATATCTATCAAAGATTAAACAGATGCTTGTTACTGCTTCCTCCATGATCACAGAATGTGAATTATGGCATAATTACATATTTTTTCAATGTGCACAAATAAATTAAATTAATAAAAACTGTACAAGCAATTATTTTGGCGTACCACGACAATTGTTAAACTAATTTTAATCTGTGAATATTGTGAGTACTTACACAACGGTTATTAAGGAGTCATTAAAAAGTGCTATAAACGCTTTTCACCGCTTGCTGTATAAAGATTATTTAGGAGTCATAAAAGAGTGTAACAAACGCCTCTCAAGTTCAATCTCTAATACATTTCGAAGCAGCTGTTAGGAGGTGTCTACAAACGTTGTATTGAAGCTTTGACCAAAACAATAAAGCTTGAGTTTAAATATGTATCTATAAACGTTGAATAAAAGTTGCTTCTACTCCTATACCGCGTATACATATAATGCTGTAGTTGAACAGGTTCTCCAAACCAGTGTAAACAAGAGTTTTACAGAAGTTGTAATAAACAAATTGTACAGTTATTATGCAGCATGCAGTTGAATAAAATCACAATGGAAGCGTTTCTTCAACAAGAAATTGATTTTGGGTAAACGTTTTACTGAATACGTTAGACAACACCTTTGTGTTGCAGTTGTATAGGTTCTCCAGACCAGCGTAAACAAGGGTTTTATAAAAGTTGTGGTGAACACATTGTGCAATTATTATTCAACATGCAGCTGAACAAAATCAAAACAAAAGCGTTTCTTCAACTGGAAATTGTTACTTGGGATATGAACCATTTGTCGAATCTTTTTAACTTTTGGTTAAAATTTGACAGATGAAAAGTTATCGATTAACCCTGGTATCCGAGCGTGGTTATTTCTGACAGACAGGAAGTTAAATTTTGACAACCGTGGCTGAGTTCTGCTCGAAAACCGATCGATCGGTAACACAGGGATTTTCGAACATAAGAAATAAATTTCGAAATGTCACTTTTAACCACGAGTTAAATTTAACTCGTGGTTAAAAGTGACATTTCGAAAGTTATTTCTTATGTTCGAAAATCCCCGTGCTGTCGATCGACCGGTTTTCGAGCCATGGTCGTCAAAATTTAACTTCTTGTCTGTCAGAAATAACCATGCTCGGATAGCAGGGTTAATCAATAACTTTCCATCTGTCAAATTTTAACCAAAAGTTAAAAAAAAAATCGCCAAATGGTTCAGAGCCTTAAAAATACATAATTTTACACGTGACGGAATCCATCTTTGACATAAAGGATGAGACATAAACAATCATTTCATGTAAAATTAAATGCTTCGAGACTGAAAAGTTCGTTACTCGTCGAAAAGTACGGTTGATTGTGCTGAATTTCACGTTTGCTGTGATTGAATTGTATGTCAAAATTGACGCTCGTATATGTCAGTCATAGAGCACCTAAATTTACCTGATTTTTTCTAACTGTGTGTTCCCAACACTTTCAATGCAAACTTCTACATTTCACGTTCCTTAGACATTGAGTTAGAAACAACTGACTGCACATCGAAAAAAAAAATGCCTTTCCATCTCCACAATCCAAACATTTTCTTTGAGTTACAATTACAAAAACACTCGAAACATTCCCCCCCAAACTAAACCAAACCCCTTCAACCGACATCAATTTGTTCCTTCAACCACTTTCCATTCTTTTAACCAAACTTTGTCCTGTCAAAACAGAACTCGAATCAACACCACCCCGGTTAGGGAAAGAAAGAAAGAACACACCCAATTCCGAGCTCTCTCCGCCGGCACACCTCGCTTTTATTGACCTTTTACCGCACTCAATTCAATTACATTCTCCGTCAGCAGATCCAGCAGTACGTCCAACTTTACCTGGTACAGATTGTTTTCCTGCTCCAGACTTTTGATCCGCCGTTTCATCCGGAGCAAATCATCGATGGCGGCGGTCGACGCCGGGGCTGTCCCGCTTCCACCCGATGCCGCTGCCAGCGCCATGCCGCTCATCCAAACACCGTCGACAAAGCACAGCTGCTTATCCAACAGGTTCAGCCGGATGTTTTTGAAGTCGTCCAGTTCCTCCTGCTGCGGCGGGCAGCCAATGTTCAACCTTGCCGTCCGCGGGGGTGCCACCTTCGGGGCGAACTTTTTCGTGAAAATTGGCATCTGCTACTCCGTACTCTTCTTCTGGTGCTGGTGCTTCGATCGAAGGGTAACTTTGTTCTGCAGGGCAGATTGTAACGTTCCGGCGGGGGGGTGATTGGTGAGTCGCGCGCACGAGCACGTGTGCCGTTGCTAGGCCAAACGATGCGAAACCACGTTGCCATGGCGCTAAGGGTGCTCGTAAACACAAACATATACAAATCGAGCAGGATGTGAAACATTATTTATCCGGTTGACCACAAAGAGTCGGATCGTTATAACTGGGTGATGTCCAATCAGCAGTATAGTGATGGGGCAGTGACCGAGAACAGCGTTGACAAAGGCAATAAGGAGGATCCGATTAGGAGCATCGATGAACTGTATCGGAGCATTCAACGGGAAATTCAGTGCCACAAGAAGGAGCATGAAGAGATTAGAGCGAATTTGAGGCGATTAGTTCAAAACAATCATGTGGCCGTCGGTGGTTTGCTGGGGGTCGCCGGAGATGAGGCAACCGGTGCTGAAAGTGGTGATGGTTTTGATTCCGAACAATACAAACGGATATCGAATGAAGTGATTAGCAATTTAAAGAACCAGCTGGAGATAGTGTGGGAGGTGAGATGGATAGTCGAATTTGTAGCAATCAAAATGCTTTAATTTAAATCGTTTATTTAAACCTTTTTTCCGCAAAAGTATTGCCACAAGGGTCCAAAACGTACTTCAAAATACACTCTTCCATCGGTGACTGTTATTTTGCCTCGACTTTCGTCTTTTCCCCGAGTCCAACTCCTCACTCAAGTGCCACTTCTAGGCATAGACAATCCACGAAGCACTTGCCTTCACCGGTTGTTATCGTTGCGAGAGCAAGCAGACATCGAAATTCTGTACTACTACTACTACTACTTCCCTGTTCCCACTTAACGTGTTTTTCCATCCCCTCAAAACAAAAAAAAATAATCCCGTAGGAAAAAAATACCCTGGAAAGCCTCTGGAAGAGCTCTCAGAAGACAATCCAAATACTCGAGCTGGAAATAGGCGAATATCGAAGACAGTTGCGACAACCGAGCAGCGTCCGGGACCTCAGACAGCAGTACACGGCCGCTCTGCAGTTGCTGGAGCAAAATTTGCTCTCGCTACGGACGAAGCTCGCCCAGCGGACGGAGGAAAACAAACGCCTGCAGGTAGCCAGTGCAGCGGAACAGGACCGACTGCGCACCGTGGAGCGGGATTTGGCCGGTATGTATCTACCGTGTACCTCTTTAATATACCTGCCCCCCCGCACCGTTGTGCGAATTTCGATTTGTGTTTTTGCCCGCCTGTCTGCCTGGGAAAGCTTTCGAACGAGTGGAAAACTGATTTTCCTCGTTTTGGGCGTTTCGGTCGAGTTTCGACATCAAAGACCGAGCGGGCGAATTTGGGAAAATGACCGAGCTGTGGGTGCGGGGAGGGGGGGGGGGGTACGAAGGGATGCAGCAAGAAGACGTTGTTGGTTCATCATTTTTTTTGGGCAATTTTCCACCCGGTTGTTGTTTGTGATTTCTGTTATTAGCTGCAGATCACTGGGAAGCATGCTGGATGAGATTGAATGTTGTGTGCTTTTTTTGTTTGTTTGTTCGAGAAGTGCTTGGGGAAGAGTGGAAGAGTGGTGGGGAATTTTTAAATTACCAAAGAGTGGATTAAAGATCAATGCACTTTATTCTTGTTGGAACTTTGAAAGATTTCTAATCAAATGCTTGCATTTGCAGATGATTTTTTATCAGAATTTCCACAAAATTGACAATTGAATAGTGTGGAAATGTTATACTAATATCAACATAAAGCTTAAGTGCGAATAGAAGTTGAAATTGAGCAAAGGGTCACTAATACGACAGCACTAGTCAAACGCACACTCCTTTACCTATCTCATAAATTAATGTTGAGGTTTTTCCTCAAATCCACAAGCGTGCGCGTTTAACTTGCTCATATATTGTCTGCGGATGTGGAATAGCTCTACCCACGTTTAATACAAATACAACCTAAACCCACTGCGCCACCATATCTGAGAATGAATTGTTTGTCAATTAATTAACAATTGGAAAAACCATTTTGTTGCTGGACATCGCGACTAACATTTAAAAATGGTCTAAAATGTTGAAAATTCATAATTATTATATTTTTAAATCACATTAACTTCAGAGCAGCTCAAGGGGGAGTCAACTCTGCCCACTGTACCGAAACACAGTATGACGGCACGTTAAGGCACACGCTGATACGTATGACACGAAACATATGATATAAAACGGCAACACTGTTGAGCGTTGAACATTTTTTAATCGGTTTACCCGTTGCTAAGGTTTGTTTACTTCAATTGAAACTATCTGTCAATACTCCATTTCAAAATCCATTCCCTAACAAACCTAACGAGGGAATTTATTGGGAATTTAAAAAAAATCAATTTATTCGATGATACTATAGAGAAAACCTGACCAAATGATTTTTTTTTGTGAAATTGAGTTTATTTGCCTGATTGTGTTAAAAACTAATTACTGCAATTAATTACATAGCAACTTGTAAATGAAAACCTAACTCGCCAACGTCTACAGCGTTATCACAACCTATGATAAAGGTGACGTAATTAATAAAATATTTTAGAATTTCAATTTTTTGTCTTCTGCCTATGTTATTTAAAACTGGATGTATGAGGTCCTCAAAAGAGAGCCTCCTCCGACCGTTAAGGATTGTTTTTTTTTTTTTTTTTATTAATTTATTTGTACAGGCTCAATCGAATAAACATGATGCATTATACATGATTAATGTCTTAAATCTAGAGTTAAAGGAATTGAACCGATTACTCGCGGTCGTCTCGAGGTTAGTGGAGATTTACAATTTTTTGGATGGGGAAAGGGAGAAGGAGGTTTGAAATATGATTTATTATACAAATATTTAATTAATCCTAAAACATGAACTTATTTCTATTCATTTTGAAAACAAACAACTAAACACAAGGTTAATCAAACTTACAATCTAAGGTTAGTATTCTTAAAGTAAACATATATGAGTTTCATAAACTCCAGATCACGTCTAGCCAAAATATCCCGAACTGGAACATTAGGTTGTCTACCTCGAGCCCGAAGGGAATCGCACAGCTCAGATCTGACTCCACGATGCTCAGCACAAGACCAAAGGATGTGATCGGCGTCTTGGTAACCTTGTCCACATTCACAGAGATTGCTGTCTCCCAGCCCAACACGGAACAAGTGAGCGTTTAACGAATAGTGATTGGACATGAGGCGAGACATCATACGAATGAAGTCTCGACCCACATCCAACCCCTTGAACCAAGGACTCTTCGACACCTTAGGGATGATCGAATATAGCCATCGTCCCAAACTCCCTTCACTCCATTTATTTTGCCAGCTGGCGAGCGACTGTTGACGATAAATGAAGAAAAATTCATTGTAGGCGATCTGTCGATCGTAAATATTGCCTTGCATGCCCACCTTAGCAAGTGAGTCCGCCTTCTCATTGCCCGGAATCGAGCAATGAGATGGGACCCATGCAAAGGTGATGACAAAAGATCTTAAAGATAAAGCACTCAGAAGCTCTCGTATTTTCATGAGAAAATACGAGGAGTGCTTTACCGGCCTCATGGATCGAATAGCCTCGACAGAACTGAGACTATTCGTAAAAATAAAATAGTGATCTGGTGCAAGTGAGGCGATCGTTTCTAGCGTATAGTGTATTGCCGCCAGTTCAGCAACATATACGGAACAAGGAGCTTGAAGCATTCGAGAGGCGCTATGAAATTCGTTAAAAATACCAAAACCAGCGGACGACTCTATTAGTGATCCATCTGTGAAGAACGATCTTGCAGAATCAACTTGGCCAAACTTTGCAGCTTAAATTGACGGAACAATCATGGAACGATGATGTTCTGGGATTCCACGAATCTCCCGCGTCATGGATAAATCAAAACTAACTGAATTGCCGAAGTCGGAGAAGCATACACGATGAGGATTATGCTGTGAAGGGCTGACATCCTGAGTTATGTACACGTAGTACAATGACATAAAACGAGTTTGAGGGTTTAGCTCCAGAAGCTTCTCAAAGTTTTCGATTACCAGTGGGTTCATAGCTTCACAACGGGTGAGGAGCCTGTGGGACAATTCCGAAAACCGATCCGATAGTGGCAACATGCCCGCCAACACTTCGAGACTCATCGTATGAGTCGAGTGCATGCATCCTAACGCGATACGAAGACAACGATACTGGATACGTTCCAGTTTGATGATGTGAGTTTTAGCCGCCGACTGGAAGCAAAAACTACCGTACTCTAAAACCGATAAAATCGTTGTTCGGTACAACGTTAGAAGATCTTGCGGATGAGCTCCCCACCACGTTCCGGTAATTGTTCGGAGAAAATTGATCCTTTGTTGGCATTTTCGTCTCAGATACTCAATGTGGGATCTCCAGGTGCATTTGGAATCGAACCAGACCCCAAGATATTTGAAAGACATGGAATGAGTGATCGGCCTACCCAAAAGTTGAAGCTTCGGTTGTGCTGGGCTATGCTTCCTAGAAAAAACAACCAACTCAGTTTTCTCCGTGGAGAATTCGATACCTAGCTGAATAGCCCAAGTAGACAAATTGTCTAGGGTATCCTGTAAGGGTCCTTGCAGGTCAGCCTCTCTGGGCCCTGTCATAGACACTACTCCGTCATCTGCAAGTTGTCTCAGCGTGCAGTTGTCACTTAGACAATTATCAATTTCTCTGACGTAGAAATTATACAAAAGGGGGCTTAAACATGAGCCCTGGGGGAGACCCATGTAACTAAATCGAGAAGCTGTAGAGTTTCCATGAGAAAAGCTCATATGTTTCTCTGACAGCAAATTGTACAAAAAGTTATTAATTAATGGAGAAAGGCCACAAGCGTGGAGTTTGTCTGAAAGGACTTCAACCGATACTGAATCAAAAGCCCCCTTAATATCCAAGAAGACAGAAGCCATTTGCTCTTTATTAGCAAAAGCCAACTGAATTTCAGTGGAAAGCAACGCGAGACAGTCGTTCGTTCCCTTGCCCCTACGGAAACCAAATTGAGTATCTGAGAGTAGGTGGTTCGTCTCAACCCATTTGTCCAAGCGAAAAAGGATCATTTTCTCCAACAATTTTCGAATGCACGATAACATTGCGATGGGACGATACGAGTTATGATCTGACGCGGGTTTTCCAGGCTTTTTAATGGCTATAACTCTCACTTGCCTCCAATCATCCGGAACAATATTGAGCTCTAGGAGCTGACAAAACAAGTTCAACATGCGCCTCTTAGCGACGTCTGGGAGGTTCTTCAACAAGTCGAACTTGATCCTATCAGCCCCCGGAGCCGAATTGCGACACGAAAGGAGCGCGAGTGAGAGCTCCAGCATTGAAAAAGGCTGGCTGATCTCGTCTACCGAATTCGTCGTTTCGCGAGGAATCATCTGTGCCGGCACGGAATCAGGACATACTTTTCGCGCGAACTTGAGAATCCACCGATCCGAGTACTCCTCGCTCTCGTTGTTTGAAGACCGGTTACGCATCCTTCGCGCCGATTTCCAAAGCGTATTCATCGACGTTTCGCGCGATAAACCGTCCACGAATTGCCGCCAGTATCCACGTTTCTTGGCTTTGATGAGGCTCTTGAGTTCGTGTTCAAGAGTCGAGTACGCTTCGAAATACTCGGGTGTTCCGCGTTTCCGGAAAAGCTTAAACGCGTCGGACTTTTTACGATAAACCTCAGTGCATTGCTGGTCCCACCAAGGGGTAGGAGGTTTCCTACGAAAAGACGTTCCTGGAACCGGCCGAGTTTGAGCTCGAAGCGCGCTGTCCAAGATCAGATTGGAGAGGAAGTTATATTCCTCCAACGGTGGAAGCTCTTCTACCGACGACACGGCTTCATCTATCGCGGTCTTGAACGTTGTCCAATCGATATTACGGGTGAGGTCGTACGCGACGTTAACGGATTCCGACGAATTGAACCCACTGGCAATCGAAATGCCGATCGGCAAGTGATCACTACCGTGGGGATCCTGGATCACATGCCACGTGCAATCCAACGATAATGAATTAGAGCAAAGTGTGAGGTCTAATCTACTTCCATTTGAGGATGGACCAGCCAGACGTGTTACTTCTCCATTGTTAAGAATTGTCATATTGAAGTTATCACAGAGGTCATATATCAAAGTAGAACGGTTGTCATCATACAGTTCCCCCCAGCCTGT